TTACTCCTTTCACACCCTCCTCATAAAAACTTTTGACCTTTATTTTACATTCTAAGATCTGTGCTTTTTTGCTATTTGCCTTATTCTGCTTTCTTGTTTTCTTTTCTTGTAAACTTGCTTTATTTGCTTTGGAGTTTTCTTTTTTTTGAAAACATGACTTCTTTTCTTTAGTAGTAATCCCACTTTCTTTTTCTCATTTACTTGTTAACTGGTACCAACAAGACTAGATTTCCTCATAAAAACCTTCCTCTATAAATTTAATGAAATTTTAATAACTATGCCTGTTTTGGATTATATTAGATCCACTTTTCTGAGCTCTTCTAAAATATCTATACTCTATAAATCACTTATATAATCTAAACATCTTCTGTATATGTTAGTCTTGTTCTCATACAAGTTATTTATAAAGATGTCTTTTGCTAGCTTCTTTTTGGTTATACTGTTCAGAACCTTCCATGCTAGTTCATTCGCAACATTTTTAATATTGACTTAGTAGCTTTTATATACTTTACATGTCATTAAGTGTTCGACTGTTTCTTCTTCATTTTTGCAAGCACAATATTTACTTGTATTATATACCTCTGGCTAGAGTTTGAAACTAGATTTGGTATTCAGATTTAAATCTGATTTTCTCTGGATTCAAATTAAATCTGAATATAAAATCGAATCTACCAAATCTAACAATACGTAACTCAATCTGGTTAAGTTCTCAGATCGTGTATCACCATCATATATCGATAATTAATATCTATTTCTAGAAAGCAATATTTTTTATCATGACCTGTTATAAATTTTTCTTGCAGAGAACTAAAATTTGTATGGGAAGCAATATATTGCAACCCATTGTTGATCTATATATCTTCATGATAGCTTGCAATTTAGTTCTTTACAAGAACTAAAGTTTATATAGAAAACAATAAATTTTAACTTTTAGCTTTACACCCTCACAATGGCCTAATATTATATTTGTTCTCTGAGAATACTAAAGTTTATATGGAAAGTAATAAAATTTGGCTTTACACTCTTATGATTATACATGTTGGCAAAATCCTGACTTACTATAGTTTGGAATTTGTCTATCATCCCAAATCCCAAATTTCAAATTCTAGCAAAGCTAATATCTAAAAAACTTTATTAATAATCTTTATTTAAACAAATTATATATATTCTTATAGTTATAAATAATATATTTACAAAATATTAAAATTATTTATTTGATTTAATTTTTTATAAATAGCAATTGTTTTTTTATTATTTGGAATTTGTCCAGGTTTTGCCAGCAAGTATACTTATGATGATTTATATTCATTATTTGCGAGAGCTAAAGCTTATGTATAAAGCAATAAACTATAACTTATATTTTTGGGCTTTATGCTCTTGTTATAGCATTACTATAGTTTTCTGCAAGAACTAAAGATTATACTAATTTATTTTCAGGAAGCAATCTTTACGCCTTCACAATAGTTCTCTTAGAAAACTAAAATTCACATAGCAATATTATTAGATAATTAATAAAGTATAAATACTGTAAATATAGTGAACAAGAGAGTTTGAATAAAAAAAAAAAAATAGCATCTTTATCTGTTCCTTCTTCTGACCTTGACTTTAATGAGCCAACTTCTTTCTTGGAAGCTGAAACATCTGCTTCTACAAATTCAATTCCCTTAAAAAGTCACAAGAAACATAAAAATAATTTAAATAAAAGTAACAAGAGTGGTAAAATTAATAAAAGTCACACATCTTACTTTTTTTGCAAAAACTCCAAAAATTGTGATCAAGCATATTGCAAAATATGCGAGCAAAAGCTTGCTGATACCAAAAAAGAACCTTATGTCTATAGTTGTAAAGGAGGCACAACCTCAAATATTGCTAATCATCTGCATGAAAGACATGGTATAACAAAACAAAATTATTGAGACTATTTGGACGTGAATGAAGAAGTAAGAAAATATGTGCATATGTAAAATAAGCTTAATTATTGTACAGGTCTTATGTGACAACCTGTGCTTTTTTCATTTGGTTATTGCACAAGATTGTTATGTCAGACACCGTGCAATAAGATAGTTATTATATGGGTATACGAATAACCTAGTTACATACATGGGTTCATATTTAAATCTCGTGCCTTCGGCACAGAATATGAACCCATGTGTATCTGGGTTATTCACACATACCTATACAATAACTATAATTTATTTATTATAACATAGTTTATTTATATTAATTAGCTAAAAGAAAATCTGATGTTTGTGTCTCAATGTAGTAAGATTTAGCAAAAAGAACTTTCACAACTTTTAATTAAATTTATAGTCAAGTTTATAGAGCCGTTATATTCTTCAAGATAAAGATTTTCGTGAATTTGTTCATGGCTGTGAGCAAGGGTTTCATATACCGTGTAATAAAACTGCTCAAAAATTAATTCATAAAGCATATTCATGAAGTACAGATCAATTAAATAATTTAATTAATAATATAGCTATCTCAGTTTATTTAACAACAGACCTTTGAACAGCTAAAAGTAATTATGAGTATATTGGAGTGACAGCCACCTGGCTTGCCTCTGATTTTACATTTCGTGAAGTTTTATTAAATTGTAATGTTCTTGACCACCCATATACTGGTAAAATTATTAGTGAAGAGTTGTATCGTGTTATTCAACAGTGGCATCTTACTAGTAAAGTTTTTACTATTGTCACAGACAATGTGGCAAATATGGTGAAAGCCATCTGTCTTCTTAATGACTCTTTGCCTTTTATTAAAAGACAACCTTGCATAGCCCACACTTTACAATTATCTATGCATGAAGGTTTAAAACAATACAAACATATACATAGACAAATTAAAAGTTTACAATTATTTTTTAAATCACCAAAACAAGCACAAAGATTAAGAGAGGTGCAGCGTGATAATTATCAAGCTGAAAATAATAAAAACATTGAAGCGCCAATAAGTCCTTTAGATATCTTGCTTGATACCAAAACTAGATAGAATTCTATCTTCATAGTATGGAAACAGCTTCTTGAATTACACAATTCTATACGCTTGGTTTCAGTATTATTGTTAATAAAACAGGATCGTGCATCTCAAAAAGAAGGAGAAAAGCTAGACTAATTATGTCTAACATCTGAAGAAAAATCATAAATATCTTATCAAATTAGGGAATTGGTATTTTATATTCTTGTGATTATAAAATCCTGGTTCTTTAATTTTAAAATTTTTTTTTTATTGTTTATTATATGGCTTTGTATTTATGAATTATCTAGCATGTTTGATAATTCATATATATGAAGTTTTATAGCTTTAAGTCTAAAAAGATCTAAGAGTTTAAACCCAAATACAAAAAACTGTTACCCATAAAATCTAATAATAGGCATGTCAGGTAAAATGATTTAAAATACGATTTTAAGAATTGTGATTGATTGATTTAAAACTGTTTTTAAATAGTTTAATATATTCTGACTTATTATAATAATCTTATTTATTTATAATATAGATTTTCTTAAAACTATACATCGTAGAAGGCCTTTACTGAAATTGACATATAAATATTTTACAATAATATTTATAAAAAAAAAGAGATTTATCTTTAACTTCCAAAAGTGTTACAGAACCTGGTTGATGCTAAATTAATAATCAGAAGTGGCAATTCTAGTTTCAACTGAATTCTAGTCTCAGTGTCAATATTTTTAAAGTATTTTAAGAACCTTAAAAAACTGGTTAAACTGTTTTTTTTTTCATCTCTAATATCGGGTACTGTATTATATTATATTTAATACAAGAGCAATTTAGTCATATTTTTAACTAATTTAATGTTTTATTTATTTATTTTTTTTTATCTATAACCAATTTCACAGATTTTCTTGAAATATTTATTATCCTGGTTCAAACTCTTAGAATGTTGTTAATTTTTATAAAAAGTTTCCAAATACACTATCACTATTTTAATAAACTCTGACCCAGAAATTTGGAATAAGCGATGGAACTACAGATGCTAAAATTTAATTGTCACACATTACGACAATTAAGGATCACCTATTTTTGGCATTATTAATCTCATCACTAGACAAGAATATTTTTTTGAACAGTTTTTAGTTATATAAAAGCTGTTCAAAACTATAAAGTCAGCAATACTAATTTAGGGTATTCTCAAGTTGTATTCATATATGAAGATGTCTATAGCAAAAGCAGAATATATGACTATATATTATATAGTTCTATCTCCCACTTTTGCTATAAGCATCCTCATATCTTGTTACCCTTAGTAAATTTAGAAATAACTAAATACATATTTTAAAATTTAATTCAATTATTTACTCTTTAAAAATTTTTTATTT